ATGTGTTCAAGTATCACACCTGCCTGTCTGTGTAATTACATAATGTGACAGAGACCAAACTCGGGCCATAAATCAATGCGTTTTGTTTATGGTGTATAGCCTGATTGGTGTTAAGTTCAAATTGCATGTGGTCAATGATCGCAGTTGTGTACTGAATATTGTCATTAGCAGACAGGCAGGCAGACAGACAGGTGTCAATAAAACAAGACATTGAGTTTTGTCTGTGACAACGATATATCTATATCACAGTTAGAAATTCTGTCAACGCTAAATAATGACATTGCTTTTAAGTATCGAACTGAGAAAGTGTCTCGGTAAGAAGAACGTGTGGTGAAATAGACAAATGAAATTATATAAACAGTTAATTTACTGTCATAACATATTAAAAGCTCGCGCCTGTGAGATATCAACAAAATATTAGAAAAATAGCTCACACCAAAGCCTTCACCGGGTATTCACCCGACAACCCGCTTCCAAGCTGAGCGAACCTATTTACTTGCGCACATTCTATGAGCGCAGCCCAGCTGTTGAAACCCGTTTTCCCCAGAAAAGTCTGGGGAAAATTAGTGAAACGTTTGAACTCAGATTTCGCGCGTTTTTTTTTCGTCGCGTTATTTTGCAACTTTATAAGTTGAATTTGCATTTTTGATGATTTGTTTCGGTAAGTCCATACCGAAAGTATCAGAATCTGCAAAGTTGTGTTTTATGTTGCATGTGACCTTTAATTAAGCACCCCTGTATTTTTGCAATGATAGGTTTTCAACACGTATATACAATTTGTTGTGGTGACCACGATAGAAAAACATGAAAATTTTTTACCCGTATGTTCCTTCGACTCATAAAAAAATACAAGATTTTATGATAATTGCTCTTTAAAAAAAGCTGGCGGTGGGGTAGCCTAATGGTTAATGCGTTGGCTCGTCACCCCGAAGACCCGGGTTCGAATCCCCACATGGGCACAATGTGTGAAGCCCGTGATGTTGCTGGAATATTGCTAAAAGCGTTGTAAAACCAAACTCAGTCAGTCATTAAAAAAAAAGCACTGTTTTTCACACAAAAACATGTCTGTACAAGTATGTCCCTGGAATGTTTAATGTTGAATTTAATGGTGAATGTGAACATTCAAAATGTCATTTTACATGTCTCACACGATTCAAGGTCAATACCGAGTGTAACCTCCATGTGACTGTATGCCAGCCAGCACTCTCCTCCTGCTTGTCGTAAGAGGCGACTAAGGGACCGTTCATGATTTATGGCTAGGGTGGTCAGACTCGCTGACTTGGTTGACACATGTAATGGTATCCCAACTGCTTAGATCGATGCTCATGCTGTTGATCACTGGATTGTCTGGTCCCGACTCGATTATTTACAGACCGCCGCCATATAACTGGAATATTGCTGAGTGCGGCGTAAAACTCACTCACTCAATTTGCATAGATCAATGTTCTAGAACTCGACCACTGACTTGTCAGTACAGACTCGATTGTTTACAGGCTGGAATATAGCTGAGCGTGCCGTTAAACAACAAACAAACAACAAACAACAAACAAACAAACCAAAAAACACCCAAAACAATTCTTCTCGGGTAAGCGTCATACTCGGTATAGCGTCTGTGCTTCATCGATATAGTCCACGACACACCACAACCAGTGAACGGTGAAAACAGAATATAGCAAGGAAACGCCATAGTACAGGCGTATAGAAATAATATTGCGCGAACCAATTTAAGATCAGTAAAGAAACACAAGTTTGCCATACAACTCTGTAGGTTGACGTGAAAGACACGGTTCTCCAGAGAGATGACGCCGTGATATGGTTGCCTGTGATCGATGTCAGTCATGGGATTCTCTGTTCCACACTCGATTGCAATCGGTGCCTTAAATTGATGCTCATAACGTCAACCACTTGATTGTCTTGATTTATTTAGAGACCGTCGTCGTATAGCCGAGGGTGACGTTAAACAACAACAACAACTCGCCGTCGTATAGTTTGAACAATGCACACATACACTTCACTTGAAAATTTGTTTTGACCAAAATTTTGCAACCGTTGACGAGGGATGGGGGGAGTATGGTTTTACGCCGCTTTTAGCAATATTACAGCAACATCACGGCGGGGGACACCAGAAATGGGCTTCACACATTGCACCCATGTGAGGAATCGAACCCGGGTCTTGAGCGTGACGAGCGGGCGCTTTAACCATTAGGCTACCACACCGCCGCGACTAGGGATGAAACGGTAAGCTCTCACCACGGTACGGTACTGCGGTATAAGGCCTTTGGTTCGGTATATGAGACATGATCATAATGCAGAAAATTGACATGAACCAAACCTTACAATTTTTAATAACATGGAAACAAAATAACCATAATCTTTGTTATTTGGAATGAACAATACTGTCATTTTATGACTAGATAGAAATGACGGTACGAAAACGGAAAATACCGAATTTTGGGATTGCATTACGGTATACCGAACCGAAGGCAAAATACCGCGGTTCTTCTAATTTCACCGTATGCCGTTTCACACCTACCGTTGACAATCGCCGTCACACCTGAAGTCCAAACCTGACAATTACCTGTATCGTCCACATCACCATCAATTAACCAATTTTTGTCTGCTTAGTTCCTAGCCATCATCAAACGTAGGTGTACACTTTCTTTTACCTGACCAGGAATTTGAAGGTGTTCCGTTTTAATCAACAAATGCCAATATATTTTGAACCAAGAGATGTGATGTGGTCTCTCTCCTAGGCTCTACACACTACATTAAAACGGAGTCCAACTCAAGTCTAGAATGAATGGTCAAGTTTAAGTTGCCACAAAGCTGAAATTAAACATTACTCCATTTGGATTAGATTTTAATCATTTTCAAATAAGATAACTAAAGGTAGTCAAACACGAGGGTGAGGTATTTGTTAACAATCTAAACTGACATATGCACGTGACATGTGGAATGGACGAGATCAATCAAATGACTATGTCGACCTCTATGAAATCAATGATTACTGTGACGTCACAAACACCTATCTCTGTACCACTGAACCATGTCAGTTGTGCTTCACACACTCGAGTCGCTGGTTAGTACTGTTTACAAACTGTACAGGTTGGAATAGGACTGACTGACTGAGTTTGGTTTTACGCCGCTTTTAGCAATATTCCAGCAATATCACGGCGGGGGACACCAGAAATGGGCTTCACACATTGTACCCATGTGGGGATTCGAACCCGGGTCTTCGGCGTGACCAGCCAACGCTTTAACCACTAGGCTACCCCACCGCCCGGTTGGAAAAGGAGGGGTGGTGGGGTAGCCTAGTGGTTAAACCTTTGGCTTGGCACGCCGAAGACCCTGGTTCGATTCCCCCGTGATACTGCTGAAATATTGCTAAAAGTGGTGTAAAACCAAACTCATTCACTAACTCTAGACCCGGGTTCTACTCCTTTGTTAATGTATCCGCTGAGGTCTGGGAGGCAGACTTCAGTAAGACTAGCAGTGGCAGTAGTAGACTAACGCTTAGTTTCTCGAAATATATAATTTTGATAGGAAATAACCCAATTTATATTGACGAAGATTCCCAGTGAGAGAGGAGATTCACAACCTGATGACTTGCTTTACTCGGAAAATTTTGGATGACAATCCCAGTCTATTCATGTTAAAAGTGTTCATAAAGGAATGAGGGGCGGTGGGGTAGCCTAATGGTGAAAGCGTTGGCTCGTCACGCGGAAGACCCGGGTTCGAATCCCCACATGGGCACAATGTGTGAAGCCCATTTCTGGTGTCCCCCGCCGTGATGTTGCTGGAATATTGCTAAAAGCGGCGTAAAACCAAACTCAGTCAGTCATTCAGTCATAAAGGAATGAGAGATATGAGAGAATCGATGAAAATCACATTACACCCTGATCATACAGATGGATAATTATGTTATAACATTGTCATTAATCGGTTAGAGACCTCGACTTACTTGACTTAGTCCTCGTTACTCCTTGAGGAGCATAAGGTCTCAACAGTTGCCCTCCACGCTTGCCGGTCAGTGGCTATGCTCTTGGTAGCCTCCCGGGGTAAACCGGTTTCCCTCAGTTCTTTTTCCAGGCTTCGTCTCCAGGTCTGTTTTGGACGTCCTCTTTACCTCTTGCCTTGTGGGTTCCAGTCAAGTGCTTGCCTGGTGATATTTGTTTTGTGGTTTTTTAGCGTATTCCAATCCAGCGCCACTTTTGTCGCTTGATCTGAGCAGAGACTTGGTCTTGATTCGCTGCTTCCCACAAGTCAAGGTTGGAGACTTTATCGAACCACTTGATGCGGAGGATCTGTCAGAGACACTTGTTGAGGAAAGTCTGTATTTTGATGGAGCTGGTCTTGGTTACTCTCCACGTTTCCGATCCATAAAGCAGGACGGAACGAACAGTTTGAGCTGAAGATCCGGAGCTTGGTTTTCAGGGATAGGACAGTGCTTTTCCAGATTGTTCTTAATGTGGTGAAAGCATATTGAGCTTTTCTGATCCTAGCCTCGATGTCCTCGTCTGTGCCACCGGTTAGAGACCTACTATTAGTATATTTGAATTACGTTAAATGTGACGCATACTCAAATTATATAGGAAATTATTATATCAATTGGTCTTTTTAACGGCTTAATTTTCATATATTATTTGGACAGTATAAGGCTCTGATTTTTTTCTTTTTCGTAAATCGTTTACTTATCGACTTACCTACCGAAGATATATATAACCTAAAGAAGATATATATATAGAGAGAGATATGGAACCTTGCACTTTGAATATATTAGTATGTTGTCTCATTGGGGGTGAACTGCATTGTTTGTCTATCTTGTGTTGAAAATAAATGCTGCGTCCTGCTTTTGAGCTTAATACTTAGTTTCCTTGTCTCTCTTTGTTTCAGTTGAAATCACGTTGAGCAAAGTATTAGAGGTTTTAGCCTTGCTATTAACCTTAGTACTGCACATTAGAAATGCACCATCTAACAGAGTTATTTCCCTTGAGTTGTCTGCCGCTAGATGGCATGGTAAACCCATCGAAAACATTGCCCGACGCCATTTTGTGATTTCTTAAGGAAAGAGAGATCGAAACTGAAGCATTTCTTGTCTGTTTTCTCCATTTTACGTAAGTGTACCCAATGGAATGGCATAATTAGAATGTATACCTACACATAAAACTTGCGCGGTCGTAATATAACTCTTAATCATTTTGTTTGTGCCCTTGTATGTGGGCTATGGGGAGGGAGAGGTGGTGCAAAATTCGTGTTTGTTGATGTAAATAGGAAGTAAAGTTTCAGTAAGTACACATACTGAGCTGTCGAATTTCGGGGTATCTGTGACGTTCACATATTTACGAGCTTAGACGATGTACGGGTAAACGGCTGAGTAACATTTTGATAACCCTGATTGAAATGTCCTCAACAACTGTTTGTTTTGTCACACGATAGAAAGAGCGTGGCGTCTGCTCAGGCAGATCTCGTGAGTCACAGGCATAATTAGAATGGAAGCCCATTGATGACATGGAACTTTGATCCCTTGTATTTTCACAATACATATAGTATGTAACTAACATTTTAGGTATAAGATTGGTTTTATTGTTTATGGATCCAGTGCCCTTTTATCAGGCGTTCAGTGTTTCACAGGTTAGGGGGTGTTGCCCTTGCTGAAACTAAAACTCAGTCCTAGAACAGTCATGCCTTATCTCCCTTGGTCTTGTTGGAATGACTGGCGTGTATGTTACTATGTGTCAGTTGTCATGATACATTTTGTTTTACATCTCAGTATGTCAGTCTTTGTCCTCAAAATTTAATTGTCCAAACTAAGGATGTCACTGATTACACCAGTGCTGATATATCAATTCAGAAGAATCCTGATATAGCTGTTATAAAGAACAATAGTTATTGTTTATAGATACAAGTAACCAATGTAAACCTGACAGTTATTGCTAATTATGAACTAGGCCGATTTCTTAAATATTAGGAATGATAATATATACACATTTACTACAGTAATATTATTGTAAATATATATCTAAAACATATCTTGCGATTTATGTTGACATCCCTAAACCAAACATAGTTTAATTTATTCTTGATCGTCTAAAATACCTTTTGTGGACAGTCTTCAGACTAAGGAGGGGGATTCAAAAAGTAGTCAGCCTAACTATATTCTCGATGTCCAATGTTTGAAGCTTCCATTTTATTATGAAGGAATCATTAGCTAGGGATTTACATGGAGTCCTGTATTTGAGGGTCCCTGGGACTCATACTGTTAATTTTCATGGGTCCAGGACAACAAAATGGGGGTCACAGACACTTAATAATACTGTTATTGTATTGTGTATCATGATCATCGCATTGTTACAGTAAATAAACTGCAAATTATACCATAACCTGGCTAGTAGCAAACTCAGTGCAAACTTATTGTTACTTGATTGGAATTTTTACAAAAAGTATTTGGACTTTTGTTTGTCCCTGTGGATGCGCTAATAAATTTTGTTGTATCCGTTGTCATTTTTTATGCGTATAGGAAGCAGGAATTCGTGTCCTGTAAGTCCCTGCATTAGCAAAGCCATATCCAAAATGTCACATGTGTGGGTAATGTGGTTAACAAGATATTAGTCATCACAACACATTGGGGTATAATGCGGGGTAGCCTTGTGGTTAAAGCGTTCAATAGTCATGCCGGAGACCTGGGTTCGATTCCCCACATGGGTACAATGTGTGAAGCCCATTTCTTGCGTACCCCTGCCGTGATATTGTTGGAATATTGCTAAAAGCGGCGTAAAACCATACTCAATCACTTAAAAAATTGCAGAAAATGGTCATTTGGTACCCCTTGGATAATGGTATGCCCTCCGATATCATATAAGATGTGTTCAGTATAGTATTGGATGACTTCCCGTCATAATCAACATTCAAAGATTTGGATGGTTTAATTTGTATTTAGACGGGAACTGTTTTTTAAGGACACCCCTGTTTTAATCTTTCAAAAACACTGTGTCCAGATATTCAAGCTGGCATTGTTTACAATGTGAGGTGAGGTGAAATTGGGTTTAACATCGTGCTTGAGAATATTTCGCTCATATGACGACTTGAATGCGTGTGTATGTGTGTGCGGCTGTATTGAGAGCTGACACTTGCGTGACCATTCAGTATTTAGTTTGAACCCTTGGCATCATGTATGAATAAGTGAAAACATGAGAATATGTTATGTTCTTATGATTATGTCATCTAAAAGGGGTGGGTAGTGTCTCCAAAACAAGCTCTTTCAGTAAACATGAAGGGTGAGTCACATCAATAGGCGATTGTAGTTTCAAAATGCTTTTTTATGCTCTTTATTATCCAAGTTTGATTCTAGTGGACTTCTGACAGAATGTTTCTTGCATATTTTGTTTTCTGAAGTTCGTGATGCATTTATTGCAGATTTTGCGTTTTGGGGGGTTACCAAGACAAATAGTCAAACAAAACGGGGATCATGAGGCTGGAACATTGCAAAACCAAATTGATTGAGGTTGACAGAAAATATGTAGAAAAATAAAACATACATACAGCTGAATTTGTATCATTTTCTAGGTGAGACTGACTACTTTTTGAACACCCCTCGTAACCTTGTGGTATAGCATTTGCTCACCATGCAGAAGACCCAAGTTCAATTCCCCTCATGTGTTCAATGTATGAAACCCGCTTTTATCATTTTTTAGTGTGTGTGTGTGTGTGTGTGTGTGTGTGTCAACACTTAGGCCTACCATGCCTATTGAGATCTTCTAGTGTTATACAGTATATAAAGCAGCTAGTTGTCCTTTAATCTGGGGGTAGAGGAAATATAAAGAGACAGGCTGGTTTATCCCCAAAGGATTTCACAAACAACCACACTGAAATGAGCCAAGCACTGTAGTTGGAAATGACCAACAGCATCTACCCATTGTGTGTGACAACAACCAAACTTTTATTGTGTTGATAGGATGGTAATCAAATTTAACACTCATTGCTATAAGTTCAGAACATATGTGCAAGCTAATTGGACACATTGTGTGAGCATACATATGATGCAGAAAGGATGTTTTATCTTTCCCTTCAAAATGACCAATTACATAGATTGCCTAAGCACTGTTCTAATTGCATGACCCTATTTCATATGATTACCACCTCATTAACAGGTTCATGTCATAACAAGTACTCCCTGTGTAAAATCTGAGGTGGATAGCACCTTAATGGACTCATGAAAGGTAGCTTCAATGCTTGGTGACTTGTCTGTCCAGTACGCACAAATGTAGAGAATGGATGCAGAAAAAAATTCACTGCGTCCACAAGGATGCACAATATCATTCACTGTACCCACAACACATGTATGACTTTGCTAAGTGTTCAGATGTTTCTTTCAGAGCAGTTACTTGCATCATGTCATCCCTCAGTCCACATGATCAAGCTCTATAAGGAAATTATCAAAACATACAGTTCTCTACACTGTTACTTCACAGTACCTTGTATTGCCCACAAGGACTAAAACTAATAATTAGGGGTCCACAGGGCCCCCATGTTTGTGAGGTGAGGTAAAACCCTGGGTTAGAATGGAATTTAAAGGCTCTTACTGGCCCTGTTAAATATAAAATGTTTCTTTGTTGACATATTGTTTCACTTTGTTAAAATTGTAATTGTTGTAACGATCATATGTGTGTGCAAAGGCAACTTGGTGACTTGTTATATATTTTTTATAATGAAGCAGTGCTTGTTTGGGGGAAATTCTGTATATTTTTATACAATTTGGGCAGAATATACTTGGATGTCTTACAGATATTTGCATACCATATTTTCTTGTGTATAATGCGGACATGCTATTTCCTATTGTGCCGAGTCAAACCAACATTATTTGATTTCAGGGCAACATAGTTGGCCAATGAAAATTGATCCAAAACTTCACCACTGACATCTTGTATTTTTAGCTACAGCTTTGGGCCCACTGCCTTTACTATATATTTATCAAACATTTCACTTGTTATGTATGTACAGTTTCATGGATCACTGTTTACTATTTCAAACATGAAATTGGTGCTAAAAAATAATTTCTGTCAAACAATAACATGTATATCATTGTACTCATCAAAGTAAAATAATCAGAACTCATTGTGTGCATGTATTGTGTTCAATACATCTGTAGTGAAGTAAGTTAGTTTAGAGAGTGTATACGTGATGTGATCATTTACAAATTAGCTTCACTCGCCCGAATTTGACTGTGGTTGTCATTTACCCAAACTGAAAGAGCATGTGCTCCAATTTGACCATGTTGACTAATGTGTAAAGTAAAATTAAATGTAGTGCTAACCCCCAGAATCCATTTGTCAGTCTTAACTTTTCATTGCAGAAGTTGTTTGGGGTTATGTTCTTGATTACCTAAGAGAAATTCACTTTTTCAAATTTGACAAAAGTTGTGTAAAACTTGGCAATGCAAGATCCCAATTCCTATTTATTATGTGGTTCAGTTTGATCGACTAGGTTGACAACCATCAGTTTCTCATGAAAGTTGCCCAAAACCCTACAAATAAAACAAATGTTTCCTGTTTGTTTTCGAAATCATTTATTAGTATCTGTAGGAAGTTATTACAGATAATAAATGTTCAGAGAGCTCATGCCATACTTGATAAGCACGATGGGTAAAGATTACAGTTTACATGTTTACCTAAGGACCATTGCTTGGGAGACCGTCCAGGTGTCAGCATATGTGGCTGGGGACGTAAGCTCTGAACATGATAACCAATAAAAATACATACAAAGTATGGGACTTGTACCCTTGTAATGTCACTCTCAGACATATTTCAGGTATATGGCAGCAGCCTGTATATAATAAAGTCTGGACCACACATTCTATTGACTGACATCATGAAGGCCAGCTATCCATGTAGATCATAGAGATCCATAATTGTTATCAATAATAAATATTGGAGATGTAATATATCTATCAAAAGAAATGAATATATTTCACATCAGTGAGATGTAACTTAGAGTAAAAAAAACAAAAATGTCTGAAAGAAATGAATATATTTCACATCACTGATGAATGGTAACATGTTTTTGCATGGATTATTAACAAAATAGCGCCCTGAACATAATTTAGAAGAAAATCATGAAGAAAGTCCAAATTTTGTATATTGTCTTGGAAAATTTAAACTTTTTCTGTCACAAAAGTTAATGTATGATATATTTTGATAACATTATTTTATTATCGATAATCATTAATAATTTTTCTTATCAATGATATTTCTGATCAATTTAGCCAGCCCTAGACATGAACATCTATATACACAATTCGGGATACGTTATGACAAGCATGGTTTGCTGAAGATCAATTCTAAACCAGATCTTTTCAGGTCTTTCAGGAAATATAAAAACAAAATGAATAGTATAATAACATTTTGTTTTCAGGAGCACTTTGTTTGCGTTCCTGGATAAAACCTAGCATTGAACATGATAACAATCTGAAGAACTGTTGCATCCTCGTATTGGCAAACAGTATGACTGCCATTTTATGAAACTAAGCGAAAAAATATCAAGTTTGTTGGTTTTCTTTTTTGTTTTAGTTTTGGATGTCCCTAGATTCAAATACCATACAAAAGACCTTACAGGCCCAAAGACTCACACTAAATCCAACCATTGTTAATATATATTATAAAGTAAGATTGTCAATAATAGAGTTGCAATGAATCCACTATTGGGCAAATATGACACATATCTGGAATATAGGTTATCAAATATAATATGACACATCACCAGTTAATGTATCATTAATTATATCCATTCAAATGATAATAATATATATTATTTAACATGTTTTGACTATGTTATTTGTCACAACAATGATTAGTGACCATGTTATGGTCAGATGAAATATATAAGCGTGGACTATTATCCTGTCGCTTTTTTTAAAATTCACAAATATTCAATTCCAATTATCACAAATAATGAATTGAATTTATGAAGGAATATGGTCCTATTCACAGAATATAATCATTGATATAAATGAATGTAATGTATTTTCCTATATTTTCAGAAGGATAAAATCAGGTCCTCCATTTGCCTCAACTTGCACATGCTGTGTTGATTGCTTGAAGAATTTTTTCATCTTTCTCTGTCATATTAGGTAAGTAAGTCTTCTTAAAGGTTAGCTGCCTGAGTGATTGAAATGCATTGATTTTATTACACAGTTATTGCGGACATCAGTGGTGTGTGTGTTTATACTTAGAGACAGAAGAAAGACATGCACTATAGAACAGTTTTTATTTACTTACGGTCAGTGATTGTCAATTTCAAAAACATTTTCTGTGTTATTTCATTGATTAGATGTTAGTCATCATTGTAGATCAATGATCAGTTGACTGTTAACATGGTAAAGATTCACATTTGAGCACATTTGTAGATCAATTATCAATTGACTGGTACATGTCAGTGGTGCATCAGTGTCATGCTTGTTGGTATGGTACATAACATCTTTTTGTGCAGTATTGATATTTTGGGTGGTGGAAATTGCAAATGGTTCACGAAAATGAAAACAATCGCCTGCTCACTCAGATGCCCTGACAACCTGCACTGATCATTTTTATTAATCCACAATTCAGTGTGTACATATACATGGACCTCTTTGTCAAAAGCAATCTTTCAGTCCGTTTGAGTCAGAAACGGACCAATGAATTGCAAATTTTATCATTGTACAAAATTGCCCCATAAATATAAATAGTACACATGTTTATCATTTACTAATACCCAACAGCTTTCTTATATTTGAAAATTTTCCGGACTCCACCCAAAAGTTCTTTAAGAAACTATCATTAAAATTTTGACACAGTTCACTATTTGTTACGAGGGAGGAGTGCAGAGAAAGGGACAGCCAGGTGTGCGAGAAAGGATGGAGACGGCACAGCACAGGCTAATGAATCAATAACTTGGTGGGCACTTGTGCACGTGCTTCTCTAACACCTGGCTGACCCATACTTGTCATAAGCATGCTCTTGGCACTAACACATTATTACCCCGCATAACCCAAGCTGCCTGTAAGGTGCTAGAAGGTTATAGTCACATGACTTATCCCACTGGGTACACATTTTCTGCTGGGTGAACAGAGGCACTTTTAAACAAACCCAATTGCCTAAGGTGAGACCACATGCATCACAAGTGCATCGTTGTGGGGCAGGACTGAAGTCCTAGAAACTCGACAAGCCGACACACACGATCACCCATCCAAGGACTCTTCACGCCCAACATTGCTTAATTTCAACTGATTTGTGGCCTGAGCTCTATGCACAGAACACACCACCACAGATCACATCACAGATGGATAAAAATGATACAATACTGAATGACATCAGTGAATTTCTGTGTAGCTTTCAAACTGCACAGTTTCTTAATTTTCTTTCTTAAAAAGATAAACTGCCTCCGTGATGTATTGCTTAGAGCGTCCACCCGGAGAACGGAAGGACGCGGATTCGATCCCCGGTCGCGTCATACAATAAACGTTAAACTATGGTACTTGTTGGTCCCTGCTTGGTGCTCGTCATTAATGCATACAATGACTGGTTGGCTCAGAGTCAGTATAATGTGTCTTAGTGGGATATTCATGCTTTAACTGTGGCATGGGATCTCAGTGAGCTAGCACTATAAAACCAGCTTAAGTCTGGGCTAGTACATGCAGCCACACATACACACGCATGCACATCATCATATGCAGAAATATTCTCAAGTACGACGTTAAACCTCATTTCACCTCACCCATCTGAAAAAGATAACTTCCTGGCAAACAAGGATAAGTTCAGCACCGACTGGACAACTGACCCGTATTAGCATTGTATGAGAGCCGCCCGCAGGCGCTTGCCATTGTTAGCGAAGGGGGGCCAGGTTGTCTGCGATCAAGTTTAGTGCGATGGGTGAAGCATGTGGCCTGTCTCAGCAAACACCGAGTTTGACAGTGGCAGCTACATGCGGAATCAATTTCATCGTCATGCAATGCACGTGCACTAGCCTACATCTGCTCTTCCTTTCACAAACCAAATGGGTTTGCTCATTGCCATGCACCGCCTACTTCTCATAAACGCGTTCTTTGCACTGGTCCAACTTATCCTTGTTTGCCAGTAAATTTGGACAATTCTGAAACCCTATCAGCATATTGATTTTGTTCCTAAGAAATGCATTTTGTGGTCAAATATGTGCAGAGAAATTCCAAACTATTCCATGTATGTTGTAAGAAATGAAGAGGGGTGAGGTAGTCTAGTGGTTAAAGCGTTGACTCGTCACGCCGAAGACCAGGGTTTGATTCCCCACATAGGTACAATGTGTGATGCCCATTTCTGGTGTACCACGCCGTGACATTATTGCTAAAAGTGGCATAAAACCATACTCACTCACTCACTCACTCACTGTAAGAAATGAACTTCAATGTCTTTGACATTTTTTGTTACCCATTGACACATTGGTATTCTGATTGTGAGTCCTTGTGCAAGTTAAATTTCATGTGACATGTGGGAGCTGTTTCCTTCTGATGATCTGAGGTAACCATGGTAACACCATCTATTCTTACAGGTTATACCAGAAGACAAGATGGCCGCCGGCCCGTACAACTACAGTTATATTTTCAAATACATCATCATTGGTGACATGGGTGTTGGCAAATCTTGCTTGCTCCATCAGTTCACAGAAAAGAAATGTAAGTACCACAAGTATTAATGTTGGTAAGGGATTTATGGCCAATCTATGCAGGATTATACCGGTGATCACGTTAATGGGGGAACAACATTACTTGTACTTAAACAGGTTAAATATCATTGACATGAATATTTAACTTAACATGAAACATGGGCTGTCAGAAATATTATTAGCTTTCAGTTGAGTTTACACTCTTTGTGATCAAAATGTGTTGGTTTGTTTTTTCAGTTATGGCAGACTGCCCTCACACAATAGGCGTGGAGTTCGGAACTAGGTATGTATTGTCATTCTAACAGCTTGTGATTTTAGTTACTAGTCAAAAGCACAAGTCTAGAAATTTTCTTGTGTATCAAGGATGACTGATTTTTGTCCATACATTAAACAGGATCAATAGTCTTTGGTGCAAACTTCACTTGTAGAACTTTGTCTTAAGTTTGTAATAGTTTTAATAAAGTTTTTAAATGACATTATGACCAAAGTACTATATATTGCTTCTTTGATGGGCATTTTAGAAGTTGAGTTGATGAAGAATAATGACAATTATTATGGATATACAACTTCTTTTATTCTGTGGAGGCTTGACAACGACATTAGAATCTATGTCGAAACGTTGCCTCCACAGAATAAAAGAAGTTGTGTATCCAGAATAATTGTCATTATTCTTCTTTACTATATATTGCAAAAGAAAGTTTCCATATCACCTAAAATCAATTTGCAGCTGTATCATCGCATGACATGTTGATTAATAGTTCACTTGGTACATATACTAAGTATATGTGGGTCTTTCAAGGCACTGGCTTATCAGTGTATCTATCAGCTGTGTCAAAGATCAAGTTCGATATTAAATTAGTAGCTTGTTTATGTCTCAAATTTAGTTAATTGAAGTTAATCCATAATTTATATTGTTGCTAACATTGTAGTTACGGTGATGTTGATCTGTATGTGAACCATATTGTTATCAGAATTATCGAGGTTGCTGGCCAGAAGATCAAGCTGCAGATCTGGGACACAGCCGGGCAGGAGAGGTTCCGTGCAGTCACTCGCAGCTACTACAGGGGGGCAGCAGGGGCACTCATGGTCTACGACATCACCAGGTACAGTTGTTGTCCTTCCTTTGACGCCTGTGTTAACCATTGCTGGCATTATGAGTTACTGTAATTTGCTTGTCAGAGTTACTTCCCTTGAATGCCAAGATTTACTTTTTAGACCTCGTGAGCAAGAGAATGTATTCTATGTTTCAGGAGGAGCACCTACAACCACCTGAGCAGTTGGTTGACGGACGCCAGAAACCTCACCAACCCAAACACAGTAACTACACTCAGAGTTCTCTTTGTACAGACATTGGATAAGACTGCCTTCAAATAATATTCCACAAGAAGTGAAATAATCCTACTTTTAAAATGGACTGTCCGCGGCGTCCGTCCGTGCACATTTTTATCCGAGCAGAACTCTAAAACCCCCAACACTGATCTGGGGTGTGGTGCCCTTTTGGTGTGAATTCTGAATAAAATATTTTGGCGTTTCCATGGCAACAAGTGTGTGTGTTGTATTAAAATGGACTCTAAAACCGTTCACTATTTCTTTACCAAACTTGGCACATAGATAGATCTGGTGGTGTACTGGTGCCTTTTGGTAGTTTTGGAATTCTAAATAAAATATTTTTGGCATTTTCATGGCAACAAGTTTGACTTAGCCTGAAATTGGTGGTTGTGCTCTTTTCCGGAGCAGAACTCTAAAAACCGTTCACTATTTCTTCACCAAACTTGGCACATAGATAGATCTGGTGGTGTACTGGTGCCTTTTGGTAGTTTTGGATTTCTGAATAAAATATTTTTGGCATTTCCATGGCAACAAGTTTGACATAGACTGAAATTGGTGATAGTGTTCCTTTCTGGAGCAGAACTTTAAAAACCTTTCAATACTCTCCTTCCACTTTCCTATATACACACCTAAATATTTGACATAATCATCACTCGTAGACATAATCATGAAGAGTATTTTGCCATTGCGGGGGATATTTATGACTTTGTCTTCTTGTTTATCATGGATATTGGAAGTTTTTCACATGTCATTATTGTCAGGGGTGAGGGTTCAAAGGTTAAAGAACAGGGGTTTTCTTTTTTACTTTTTACATATTTTGAGAATGGAAAGAGAGTTCGGAATAGAATTGCCTTAGAAAGGGATTCACTCATTGTTGAAACTAGGGCCATTTCATTATAAATTATATTGCTGATTTTGATGCGTTTTGAGAGGTATATAGAGTACAAATGCTGTTGTAGGTTATATTCCTGATCGGCAACAAGTGCGACCTGGAAGCCCAGCGAGATGTCACATACGAGGAAGCAAAACAGTTTGCAGAAGAAAATGGCTTGATGTTTCTTGAGTGCAGTGCTAAAACGTTAGTATTCATATTGTTGAAATTTGCATATGAAATTCAAGGTGACATTTTCATAAACCTTATGATGAAATAATGATTTCTGGGTCCTTAAATTGGGACTTATAGCATGTATGTTCAAGGACACCCTTAAATTTGTAACACTGTTATGTTCACATATTGTGAATTTTCATTACTTGATCTTTCTTGCTTGATGTGAGAGAACTTTGAAAACCTTGCATTCAGTATTGTATTGAGGACATTGCTTGCCTTCCAGTGGAGAGAATGTAGAGGATGCTTTCTTAGACACAGCAAAGAAAATCTACCAGAATATACAAGATGGCAGGTTAGTCCTTAATTACTCTTACATACTTTCTTGTGGATTGTGTTTCAAAAAAGGACTTCTTTCTACCTAGTCAGTACTTGAATCACGATAATTTAGCTTATAAGAGTTTATCACCTAACTCAGAAGAAATGTTTCCTGACCAAACTAACCTCTTCACAAATTGCCTGAATGGTCACAGCAAAGGACACAACATGTCTTGGGTGCAATTTGATACTTGGTTTCTTGGAAAGTGACCGCCTCCGTGGTGTAGTGGTTAGAGCGTCCGCCCGGAGAGCGGAAGGTCGCGCGTTCGGCATTAATGGGTACAACAAGGACTGGTCGGCTCGGAGTCAGTATAATGTGTCTGAGTGGGGTATTCATGCTTCACTGCGGCATGGTATCTCAGTGGGCTAGCACTATAAAGCCAGCTTCAGTCTGGGCTAGTACAAGCAGCTGCACATACACATACACACGCACGCACGTCGTCATATGAGCGAAATATTCTCAAGCACGACGATAAACCCAATTTCACCTCACCTCACCTTCTTGGAAAGTAGTAGGATGCAGCTGATACTCTCTCGCTGTTCAAATGACAATAAATTGTGAGATAAACATGACAATCAGTGGAAAACAATTTGACAAACAGAGCAATTAAATTTTGAAAGATTTTGTTGGATGGAAAGCAGCCAACCTATTAAACTTGGCAGTCAAAATATGAAAATATTGAACTGCTCCCTTGCATGACAAGTTCAAGAATCCTTGTGTGGTAACCAGTATTTCAGTGATGCTTCCATTCTGTATATATTTATTTCAGCCTGGACCTGAATGCGGCTGAGTCCGGAGTACAGCATAAGCCAGCCACGCCCCGCAATGCCCTCAATACGGATCAGACCCCCAACAAAGAGGGCTGCGCCTGCTAGTTAACAAGCCAGGCTGGCATCTTAACAAGCATTGGTTCTGCCTTCAATTCAGTCATTCCAGCGCCAACTGTCCACTGCTTGTATGCATACAGCAGTACACATGATGCAGTGTCGATATCAATAGCTGACAGTTGCCGACAGCGTTCATCCTCCATGTCATCATCACCATCATAGGATGTGACCCCAGCATCATCAACGTCTTCACACATCCCGTTTGCTCGAACACCAGTTTGTTCCAGGCAATCAGAGATCACTCAAGTATTCAAGCTGGGTGATTTGCTATGTTCATAACTGCAATCTGATTGGTCTGTACCAGTTTGAATGGAGCTCATTTGCCAGCTGTTACAAGTTGATGTTGTAACTGATTGGTCAGTTCTCTGAATGCTTGCAGCTGATTGGCCGGATGTGTGAGGACTGATGTCACTTCTCTTTATGTTCATCTATCTCTTACTGTTGTCAGACATGGACACAGATAACCTAAGTCTATAACATACACTTGAAGTTTATACATCAATTTCTCACAAATTACGAATTCTAAATTGAAATGTGAGATTGCTTGCGTGATGGTCATGAGCATTTTCATTTCAGTAACCATAATGCTTATCACTTGAATTATTTATATTTTGTTATTTCTGATGATTGTCCAAAATTACATTAGTTTTTAATATTGCATGAAAATCAGTCTTAAATATTCTGTTAACTGAAAATAATGGAGTATCTTGACAAAATAACCCCCTAAAGATGATTTTGCTATGCTTCGGTCTATGCCTATTGATGATTGGTTGGCTCTGTTCATTTTCCTTTTAAGTTAGGTACAGCGTACTGATTATTGGAATAGCCTAAAACTCTGAACAAACTGATTTAATGTCATGTTTATCAATTGAAATATATTTGTAGTACTTTGAAGCTCCTGCTCTGGAGAGAATTATGAAACGTTTTCATCGTTATTCTTTGATGAAGTAGTAGTCTCCTCCTCCTCTCCATCTTCTGTTCCTCTGTTTGCGTGTTTGTCGGGTCAGTGGTTGTTGTGTGTGTAGATACAACGTTGTTTACCTCTGCTGAGTGCAGTGTTGGTAGACAACCCAACTGTGCTATAGTGTAAAGTTTGTTTTTGTTATGCTCAAGATCATTATCTATTGTTTCATATTTATTACTGGGGACTGAGCAATGTATAGCAGTTGTATATAGCTTATCGTGACGCTTACCTTACACATCCCACTAGACAGACACATGCTTAGTTTTAATCTTTGTAAATTGTACAGTGTCCACATATTTCATAGAGGTGAACTTTTGAAGTGATTAGTGAGAGATAGGAGTCATGATGCTGATATCCATATTGGAAAGAAAGATGTAATTTGGATATTGCAGATGTACTCCTTGAAAGACATTCAGTACATGTTATTCCTTCATATTACTATAGTACTTCTGTCATGGAATAAATTAACTGTAGTAAGATGAAAGATTGCAGTGTTCAACTTTTTCAGAGTAGTATACACAAAATGAATACATGCCAAGATGCTTCTGCTATTGAAAAAGATATTTTTACCTTGATTGCAATTAACATACTGCTAAGAAGGTTATAATTATATCGTAAGAAATATCGTCAAGACAAGTGAGGCTTCGGTATTTATTGTTGTGACCTTTGTCAATCTGCTTTTTCGTACATATTTGCAGTGAAAGGACATTCAGGTAATCTTAAATGGCAAAAGAATCATCAGTTGTCTTGGACATCTATGGAAGCCCAAGACAAGTGCTCGTGCCAGAGCACAAACCCACTTTCAAATTGTTTGATGCCAGTTCTTCTATCTGGAAGATGACATGAAGTCTAAAATGTCTAAACATGAGTTTTAATCCTTTATCTGTAACTATATGTCTTGGCATAGTAGTGGCTGAAAAACTGTTTGCTTCTTGGGGTTTCAGCACTTTCATGTTAACTTGGAAGTTGTAAGATGAGCTGCTAGATAATGTTATCAGGTATAGTTTCACAAATTGGTAGTTGTGATTAATGGATATTACTCTGCTGTTGCTCTGATAGTATATGAGAGACCCAGTAGTCTTTGGCTGTAATTTGTTGTGCAGACTTGTGCCTGATCAATCCCATCCCAAGGATGATCCTGTATTACAATACATGGTTTGTCAGCTCCATAGACAGCCTCATTGGTTTCACCATAGTGGTGAATGACCACAATCTGTGTCACATTGGGTTCTCCATTGTAACATTGCAGTGATATGACTGAAATAAGTTCTGAAACCTAACTTACTACTTACTGATAGTAGTTCTATTAGCTCTAGAAACCACATCCGAACTTCCTTACAAATACCACCAATCTGTTTTAATGTAAGCGTTGCTAGCATCAGTTTGTATGTTGATGCAGATGGAGCTTCAGATTGATGTCAACACCATCTCAGAAGCCACTCTTGAAAAACAGCATCGTGTTTGTTGAAGACATTAATCTGTAGCACAGTATCTGTATAGCACAGCTTAATGACTTCATTTCTAAATTTGTCAAGTTCTGGTCATAAATCACTATCTGTTCAAATTGTGTACTATTCATGGTATTATTGTATTGACTTCTATTGGTAGTAGTATTCATCACCTTCAGATATTGCAAGCCTCAGCTGTAAGGATGAGGCTAGGTGAGAGTTTGTGTCCTTCATTTTGTTACTGTAGACCTCTGCACATTGTTTGAATCTTGCATTTCAGAAGTAATTATGTAATCTCTTGTGATATGAATACTTGTGTATGCTAACATAGTACAATTAATTCTTCTTTCTATGGTCATGTGTTCTACAGAGTATGTACCTGCAGTCGTTTAATAACCACTTTCATAATGGTGTGAGTAGAGATCAAATTTGGTGTACAAAAAGTTTCAAAAATATGTCATAAATGTGGTATCATGAATATATTTGTTATGGTTAATATAAACTGTGAAATTGTTTATAAGATGTTGAAAGAATCGGTGTAAGTTTTGTTTTTCAGTGTTAAATGGTGATGTTTCCCAAACAAATACTTTTCTAGTCTGGTTTCATCCAAAGGTCTTTTAATACTGTTTATGGTATTGGTTGAAATTACTATTTTATGCATATTGTGCATATTTCTTGCATATATCCTAATAAATTCACCAAGTGATGGGTGGTACCAGAGAGGAACATAGAGGAAGAGTGCTTTTGTGATGTGGTTAGAAAATTCTATTTTTGATCAACATTGAGAATGAGATTGTGAGTTGTGATCTGTTGTGGCTTCAAGATGCAATTCAAACAAAGAAAATGAGTGCCAAGGCCGGTTTCTGTGTTATGACAGTTAGTTTGTATCATATTAAGAAGAACCAACTTATTTCATCTGATATAATAAGTCTCTCATATTTTCGATATTATTGACAGTGTAACAGGTTATTCTCACAGTTCACTTGTGAAGCAACCTCTTTCAGGGAATTTCGAAAATTAGTTATTCCTATTTAGTTAAGCATTATGTTGATCTATTGAATGACCTTATTCATGGTATATAATGTGGAAGACGTCATTGGCACTGTAAGTAAAAGGCTTGGTGTTCAAACAGCCTTGCTTGGAGCTAAGGAGGACAATATGCACTGGTTGTCAATTCCAATGTGATATTCTTGTACTTCTGCTGTGTTGTGTAAATTCTCTTTCATGCAATAGTAGGTAGCACTCGATAATTGGGCATATGAAAGACATAATATAAACTACAAGTAATAAAGAGATGATGTATATAAAGTGATGAAGGCTAGTGTTGTTTATTATTGTAATCGTGTTGTTTGAGAGCAAGAGAGAAGGTGTGGGTTTGGATCTACCAGCTTCCGTGTACTAGATATGTGTGAGAGAGGCCTGCGTCTAAAGAGTCACCTGAATATAGTGCTTATGGTAGTTTGAGGCAATATTCCATGATTTTATTTTAAGTTTCCACATCCATGATCCAGACTAAGAACAAGACCCAGATACAGCCACCACACAAGACATCAAAAGAATTTGTAGATTATTTTCAGTTTTGCAGTAGTTTCTGATGCGTGTGTGAGGTACTTATACATTATAATGCTGCAAATCTGACCTTCACCTTAAACTATTGTGTGTACAGGAGGTTCACCAATCTCTTCCCACAGAGGTTACTCCTGTCATATCTTCCTACGTAACCTCTGTTCTAATACGGCCCTTTCATGGTGTGAGCGTTCAAGACTCTTGATTGGAGGCAATCAGATTTAGTTGTGCAATCAGCGACATTGTTTCAGAAGTGATCATTGGCAAGGCCTTGGTAATTTCTGTATGCTTCGAGAAAACTAAACTTCTTCCCAAGCGCGATGCACAAACGTTTCTTATAGACAGAACTCAGTCATGTTATGGCGGATCAGTGGCGTCTCCATTGCCCTCGTTGACAACGGACAAGCTAGCCAATAAACGTCCTGTGTGTAACATCAACACAAGTCCCCGGCAGATGGGGGATATTTGTGGCCCCACATTTGCTTATGTTAGTCAAGTTGAATCTAAGTCGATGTAACACGTGTTCTGATTGGATAGAAAGAAGGGAGATAATTCGTGTTGGGATCTTTTGCCGCTAGGGGATTTTACGAGAACCGGGAAATATGGCCGTATTAGAACAGAGGTTCGTAGGAAGATATGACAAGTAACCTCTGTGGGAAGAGAATGGAGGTTCACAGGAATGTTTAACATATCAGGGACTGCAGTCCATGCTAAGCAAGGCCAAGGAATCATCATCAAGGAAGGTTAAAGTATCCACATTATCACAGTGCCATGTCAGTCTAAGACTGCAAGCAGTCTTGGTGTCCCACAGGAAGGAAGTGGAATGACATGAGTGAAAATATAGATCTATTGACTTAACAATTTATTCAAGTGTTCATAATTCTAATGTTATGATTACACTCCTAAACTTGTCCCAGTCCTAGTAAGAACACGTGATAGCAACCTTTGCTTTCTCTCAGGGCAGCTAATTGGATTGGGAGGTCAGACTTTTGTGATTAGTCAATTTTGTTGTTATATTACACTGTGAATGCTATTCTGTAAGATGTCATCAATACTGGTAATTTAGCACACAAAGAGAAGGAAACAATCCTGTCAATAACAGCCACAGCAGGTTTAAATCAATGGCTGGTACTGATGATGTAGGACAAGCAAATGGGAGGTTAAATAATTCATACATATCAACATTAATGTTGACATAAAAACGAAAATAATATGCTTCAAGGAAAATGCTTCCAAAAACATCCATCAGATTCTCATGGTCAAGTTCCTGCATTGCGCTTAGACCCTGGCAGTTGTCTCCCTTTGGCCACTAGGCTGAAAGGGCCAGGTTGAGGGAGCACCTCTACCATGTGTTCAGGGCCAGCCAGCTATAGCATCAGTAGAAACTACTACAATTATGTTACTGTTTAGACCGGCTCCTTGTTGCAAACAGCTAACAATACACATCTGTAAAAACATTTCACCAGCATACAAGGTGAGATGAATGTGTCTGTACTTAAGAAATACAGTTCGCTCTACCACCATGTATAGTGTAATAAAACACACATTTGCCCTAAACTATTATAGTTAAAGCGAGGACGCTTTGCGTCCGAGTGCTTTAACGCCATAATAGTTCAGGGAAAAGTGTATTTCATTACACTATACATGATGGTAGAGCGAACTGTATTTCTTTTCTAAGATGCCAAATTTAATACTTTCTACAATTAATTTAAGGCAGAAAACAAACGACGGTGTCGGTGACCTAAATTAAGAATCCTCGCACAGGGCTAACTGGCGCGCTGTTCTATTGATGTGTCTGCCCCCCTACGTTAAGACGAACGTTACCAGAAAAACAAATGATAAACCGTTTCATGACGGTTTACGTTCGATTAAATATCTTCTCTAAAGTATTTTAATTACATCTGTGATTAGCGTAAACCATGTGAACGTCGCATTTCTACTACCAAGCGTATGTTTAGATCAGTACATCCAGACGAAGCTGAGTAGTCTAGCCGACATTCCACGATTGCATTGTGGGAATGTAAACATTGCTTAACATTACCGTGTCGCTGAAAACTTGCGAAGTCGAATTGAGACATTTAAAACGTCAGAAAACATAAACGTAATGTTTCCACCAGTGATGTTAGGTGAGTGAAGCAACTGCAAACCAAGAAACGGGGTGCAACGCAGTAGTTTACTGTAGGAGGCTGTACGAGGCGATGACAACTGACACGCATCGTGACGTCGCTTACATTGTGACGTAATGTAAAATGGTTCGATTACGAGGGGGCACACTAGAATGGCGCAGTGACGGGATAACGTCATTCAATTGTTACGTCATCAAAAAACTATACCTTTATTGTCTGATAATGTATTTTTTTTCGATTGTTCTAAGCGCTAAGCATCTTAGAAAACCCCATCCTAATGCCAGTTTCATAGTGCTAGCCCATCAAGATATCATTCTGTAGTTTAAAATTATTATGCACTTAGACATAATTAACATCATCACCAGCATAAGGACACTTAAAGGAATATGCTCAATATTCATATCAATCTTGGGTCAACTTCCAAGACAGCAGGGGCGGTGGGGTGGCCTAGTGGTTAAAGAGTTTGCACGTCATGCCGAAGACCCCGGTTCGATTTCCCAATTGGGTATAATGTGTGAAGCCCATTTTTCTGGTGTCCCCTGCCGTGATATTGCTCAAATATTACCAAAAGTGGTGTAAAACCATACTCACTCCAAGACAACGTGTGTTCGAGATCCCAAGAATCCTTACATGAGGTGAAGATTTCATGCAGTTACACTCATTCTTGCACGAAACAAAACAATCAAACAAGTATACAATTTTATAAGTCTTTATTAAAGACCAGAATTGAGCAGCATTTAGATGTTTCTAATGAACGTTTTCATTGTAGTACAAAGGTGGCTCAATTTAAAAATAGGTAACCATGGTAACTCCGCATGTAAGTACACATAAATATTTCCACAGGCAAACACTGCATTCTAGTTAATGTTGGTAGAAAACTATAACAATATCACAGGTAAAATCAAAATACTGATAGAATAATTCATGCCATAACTCCAGTTTATAACAAACAACTGAATAAAAGATTTATCTCGTTCCAGTCATGATAAAGCTTCAGTAGTTTTATATGTAAATCTTCTCCCTCACGAAAGTGTCACTTCTTTGAAACAAGTAACGATTAACTCCTTCAAAATCCCTAATGGATTTATTTGAAATTGATAAGAGAAGACTTGGACATCAACAAACCCTGACAAAATGATGGACAATGTCCCTTATGAGTTTAAAAACTTCTGACGAGTAAGCATCTTTCATTTCTCTGTATGATATTTAAACACACATTTGAACTGATAGCAGATTGTCATTACTGATGGAATCATACTTCTGTGAAATCCCCCAAAATCAGATAAATCAACATAAACATTTCTCAAAGTAACAAAATAACAGTAAAGCTTCAAAAACAGATCTTGCTCTTATAAGTTTTATGATCTTCTAAACTGAAATAAGACTTTGGTAACAAAATACTGACAACAGGTAACAAACGATGAAATCAACGGGTAACCACTTGTCACGGATTTAGATGTAAAAGTTAGAAACCTTTAGAAAAAAACTGTCGAGATATACACAATATATTCACATTGAAAATTATTTACATTTGTATATTCTAATACTGCTTAAAACACACTCACTCCATTTGAAAGACATCTGCTATATCACATAACACAAAATCTGGACTGTCCAAGTATGTGATGAATATAACACCCATTAATACAGAAATAATTACAATCATAACAATCCATTTCAGTTTTGTAACTATGCACAAACTAGAAAATGTCTGTATTTGACAAGCAAATACATAATGTATAGTTTTGATAAAATGCCTTTTGAAATGTTTGTATAAAAAATATTTCCATTCAACTAGAAGAAACACAAAAAAATCATACATTCACTGGAAACAGTTGCTGTTTGAGAGTTACCTCCCTTTAAACAGTTTTATCAAAAACAGCATGTACTTAATACTTTCAGCAGTGAATACTTATGCCTGATGAATACTTTATAATACTGACAGTGTTAAGTGCAGTTGCTGTTGTGCATTCTGTAGCATTGATATGATATGGTGTAAATAATACTGTGGTGTGTTCGACAACTGAACACATTTTTCTATTTGAACCCATGTTCCTTTTGCAATTAAAAGGCTGACCCAAGGGTCCAGCGATGGTCCCCTCGACGACGCCTCATGCGCATGATGCTGCTGTCGATGTCTGCAGCTGCGCTCTTGCTGCGAATGTCATCACGGAGCTTGAGGTGGGAGAGACGGAGCAGGCCGATGTTCCGACTTGTGGCAGTGAGAGACTGGAGCAAGCCATCTCCACCCTACAATTATTGTAATATTTATTCAAAATATGAATTTTGATAATTGTCACAGTCATATTCATCATAGACAGAGGTATTATACGAATCAAAATATAAAATGTATGTACAGGGATGGCATGAAAATGATACAATTTTTAAGCTAAAGTACAGATTTATAATCGACTCATATTTATTGGTATGTATTTTTTCACATCTTTTTAGGATGGCATAAATTCCAGTATTGGATATCTGACAATCTATTTCACCTACCCTGTTCATGCTGATCATCTGCGGAACTATGTACAAGAATATCTGACAATCTACCTCACCTACCCTGTTCATGCTGATCATCTGCGGAGCTATGTACAAGAATATCTGACAATCTACCTCTCCTATCCTGTTCATGATGATCATCTGCGGAGCTATGTACAAGAATATCTGACAATCTACCTCTCCTACCCTGTTCATGATGATCATCTGCGGAACTGTGTGTACAAGAATATCTGACAATCTACCTCTCCTACCCTGTTCATGATGATCATCTGCGGAGCTATGTACAAGAATATCTGACAATCTACCTCACCTACCCTGTTCATGCTGATCATCTCTTGAACTATGTACAAGAATATCTGACAATCTACCTCTCCTCACCTGATCATCTGTGTCATGATGATCATCTGTTCATGATGATCTATGTACAAGAATATCTGACAATCTACCTCTCCTACCCTGTTCATGATGATCATCTGCGGAACTGTGTGTACAAGAATATCTGACAATCTACCTCTCCTACCCTGTTCATGATGATCATCTGCGGAACTGTGTGTACAAGAATATCTGACAATCTACCTCTCCTACCCTGTTCATGATGATCATCTGCGGAACTGTGTGTACAAGAATATCTGACAATCTACCTCTCCTACCCTGTTCATGATGATCATCATGAACTGTGTGTACAAGAATATCTGACAATCTACCTCTCCTACCCTGTTCATGATGATCATCTGCGGAACTGTGTGTACAAGAATATCTGACAATCTACCTCTCCTACCCTGTTCATGATGATCATCTGCGGAACTATGTACAAGAATATCTGACAATCTACCTCTCCTACCCTGTTCATGATCATCTGCGGAACTATGTACAAGAATATCTGACAATCTACCTCTCCTACCCTGTTCATGATGATCATCAAGAATATCAGGAGACATTGAATACTCCACCTCTCCACCTGCTTCAATGAACTGAACTGTGTACAAGAATATCTGACAATCATGATGATCATCTTCTGAACTGTGTGTACTCCTACCCTGTTCATGATGATCATCTTGAACTGTATGTACAAGAATATCTGACAATCTACCTCTCCTACCCTGTTCATCATCTGCGGAACTATGTACAAGAATATCTGACAATCTACCCTCTCCTACCCTGTTCATGATGATCATCTACGGAACTATGTACAAGAATATCTGACAATCTCTACCCTGTTCATGATGATCATCTTCGGAACTGTATGTACAAGAATATGACAATCTACCTCTCCTACTGCCCCTGTTCATGATGATCATCTGCGGAACTGTATGTACAAGAATATCTGACAATCTACCTCTCCTACCCTGTTCATGATGATCATCTGCGGAACTGTGTGTACAAGAATATCTGACAATCTACCTCTCCTACCCTGTTCATGATGATCATCTGCAGAACTGTGTACAAGAATATCTGACAATCTACCTCTCCTACCCTGTTCATGATGATCATCTGCGGAAATGTGTGTACAAGAATATCTGACAATCTACCTCTCCTACCCTGTTCATGATGATCATCTGCGGAACTGTGTGTACAAGAATATCTGACAATGTACCCACCTCTCCTGACAGTTGTATGCGAGGGCATCTGACAGTCTCCCCTACTTACCCTGATTATCTGTTGGGCTTCAGGCAGCTGTGTACCAGGGTGACGCTGGAACACCCGCACTAGAGGTCGATCAAGACGTTCCCGTGTTGTCAAGTCAGCACTCATCACCGGACCCTGTGTTAACATGACATTTGTGATGTAGATCTCATCAATTTCAGCTTCATGGCTCTGATTAATACCCCTTGATAGAGAAGATACACTGTTTAAAAACAATGTAATATTACCACTAAGAGTGAGGATAGTTCTGCTCCATGTTTTAGCAATAGTCCTAAAATGTCAGTCTTTTGGGTGCGGTTGGGTAGCCTAGTGGTTAAAGCATTTCCTCATCATGCTGAAGACCCAGGTTCGATTCCCCACATGAGTACAATGTGTGAAGCCCATTTCTGGTGTCCCCTGCCATGATATTGCTGGAATATTACTAAAAGCGACGTAAAATTAAACTCACTCACATTTTTGGATATGTGCTAGATGATGTGTTTGATTCATTGTTGGAAATAAGACAAGAAACTAGTAGTATTAAAACTGACAAACAGAACTCAGGGGTTCAAAAATCCCATTGCCCGATGCCCGGGACAAGTCAGTTTTCATTTCGGGCAATCAAATAATGGTATCTTACTTGTCCGTGGGCTACTAGTTAATTTCCACTTATGATTTAAAACAGCCAATAAACTTGGATTTAATTTCATATCTGCTCAAAATGTAGCTATTAAATTTCGCAATGATAATAAAGTAGAGTTATCTTTCTTTGCTATTTATCACTTTTCAATAAATAGTCCAGTAAACATTAACATCAAATACCATGTTGAGAATTGATGTATTCTTTCATAATTACACCATCATGATTATTTCATAAAATCAGGGCAAGTGGACAATTAGTCAGGACCTTAAAATCAGGGCAAGTGGAAAATTAGTCAGGACAAGTTACTTTCTTTAAAACAATATTGAACCCCTGGAACTCCTGGATTACCATCACACAAATAATGAAGCTGACACTAGCAACTGGTAGCCATGCATTCACGTTATGTGAAGAAGTTTGAAACTGTTCATTTTAACAACCACACCAGGAAATAGACAGTCATATCAAACAGTGAACGACTATAAATGTCAGCCTTAGAATCCCCGTCAGTATCTGGGGTATTCATGTCTCTCAAGGATGCCATTCCTGACATATCTCCTCATGCTGCTGATCAGACATCCTATTTCCAGCACAGCGATCCTTGGTATTGAACAAAGTGTCTTTAGCTTTCACTCATTACCGAGGTGAAAAATCAGTTCGTATCAGAGCTTGTCATATCCTTATGATTTTGTATTGGATTTTGAATACGGTGGTACTTAATTAATGTGCATATAACTGGAGATGCAGTTTGTCAGATGAGTGTTTCACTGTATAAGATTCTTAGCAACAAATGACAACCTACCAGAGAGTTTCCACGGGCTTTTTCTGTAGAATCATACCAGCGCTGTGCTCGATGAATGGCATGGCGGTTTTCCCCGAGACCCACACCCAGATGGTGCTGAAAACATCATTCAATTATTGATTTATCATTCAATAAATTCCATTTTTATATGAACCTTAATGAAACTGCTTTTATCAGCAGCAATTATATCTCCTGTCATACTAAATGTTGGTAATCAGCAATGGCAGGCCTCCTTTCCCAGTGTTAGTTGTCTTTTAGATTTACAAGCACTGCTTGCATGAAATTCTTTATAACTTATAAACCCACTGAGACCAGTCCTTTCGACTCATTCTGTTTCATGACCCATGTAGGTCCAGGTTAGAATGAGCCTTCAGTAACCCATGCTTGTCGTGAAGAGGCGACTAAGAGGGTGGTCAGGCTCGCTGGCTTGGCTGACACACGTCATCAGGTCCCAATTGCGCAGATCGATGCTCATGCTGTTGATCACTGGATTGTCTGGTCCAGACTTAACTATTTACAGACCGCCGCCATGCAGCTGGAATATTGCTGAGTGTGGCGTAAAACTAAACTCGCTCACTCACTCATTCTGTTTCACAATCCCCACTGAGACAATCACATTCTGGTCACAACTCTATGAGTCTTCAAAACTCATTCTGTTTTATGATAAAGGACACCCGTGAAGACCCGGGTTAGAAATGGTCTTCAGCAACCCATGATTGTCGTAAGAGGCAACTAATGTCGTTGACACATGTCATCGTAACCCAACTGCGTAGATCAATGCTCATAACGTTGATCACTGGATTGTCTGGTCCAGACTCGATTATTTACAGACCACCGTCATGCAGCTGGAATATTGCTAATTGTGGCATTAAACAACAAACTGACCAAACCAAATTATGATCAATGAACTACCTTGAGCGTGACTGTCTCTCCAACTTTCTGAGTAAGACCATCATTGACAGACTTGTGAGCAGCTTTCTGTAGCCTGTCTGCTCTGTCAATGGTGTCCCTGAGTTCCTGCCGGAGATAGCCAGACCGACATCGGGCTTCCATGGCGTCGGCAAGGGCAATGTCGGCATCAGGCGTGTATGGTCCGATGGGATCAGCTTGACTAGCTCCAAGACGGGTAGTATCCAGACGAGACAGACGGCCCTCTGTGGAACTCTTGGTGCGACTATCTTGATTGGAGTTAGCGTTGTTAAATGACAGTGCGTGGCAAAGGAGATCCAACACACGTGATCGCTCCTGCAGTGTGGCAAACAGGTGCTTCCGGGCCTTATCAAGAGTCTGGAGCAAGAATAGACACGTTGACAACACATAAACATAACAAAAATCAAATAAAGCATTATTCGGTCAGCACGATGCTCAGGAATCTCCGCTCTCACTGAGACTCCTTTTCAGTTTAAACAAAGTTAGTCTACTGGCACCTGCTAAATCTCACTCACACACTCACCAACCCACCCACCCACTTTCAGTTTAAACAGAGCTAGTCTACTAAAGCTGCTGAACCTCACTCACTCACTCACTCACACACTCACTCACTCATCAACCCACCCACCCACTTTCAGTTTAAACAGTTAGTCTACTAAAGCTGCTGAACCTCACTCACTCACTCACCTACTCACCCACTCAAGTAATCTTTTGTTTCGCATTCATTAACCCCAAACATCCCAAATCAGAACCCCCTCTGATGAAACAAACTGAAACAACAATGAATCAGACTGAATCATACTCATTCAATGAATAAACCTACTGATTCAGTGTCTGGATCAATGACAGGAAGTAGAATTATCTACATGCTCTTCTTTTCTTATTTTGATTTAGAAAAAATGGCGTAACCATGGAAACTACTCAACTGCGTGACTATCCCGACACCAACTCCCCCAAGACAACACTCACCTGCAGCTGTTCCTGCACAGACTTGAGTTGAGCCTCCAGGGTCTTCTTGTTGTTCAGAAGGTGAGCTCTCTCACCATTCAGCAAGTCATCAGCACCATCATGACTCTGAAACAAACATATACTGTAATAAGTCTCACAGTATGGAAGTATGCTCTCTCGCCATTCAGCACTGTCTGTTGTTCTGTATGTGTCACTCTGTTATACTGTGCATGTCCCACTATCTGTTATATTGTGTGTCACTGTCTGTTATACCGTGTGTCCCCACTGTCTGTTATATCATGTATGTCATACTGTCTGTTATACCATATGTGTCACACTGTCTTTTATAGACCGCCTCCGTGGTGTAGTGGTTAGAGCGTCCGCCCGAGAGCGGAAGGTCGCGGGTTCGATGGCCCCCCGACCGTGTCATACCAAAAGACGTTAAAATATGGTACTTGTTGGTCCCTGTCTGGCTTCGGCATTAATGGGTACAACAAGGACTGGTCGGCTCGAGTCAGTATAATGTGTCTGAGTGGGGTATTCATGCTTCACTGCGGCATGGTATCTCAGTGGGCTAGCACTATAAAACCAGCTTCAGTTTGGGCTAGTACAAGCAGCCGCACCTACACATACACACACATGCAAGTCGTCATATGAGCGAAATATTCTCAAGCACGACGTTAAACCCAATTTCACCTCACCTCACCTGTCTGTTATATTGTGTGTCACTGTCTGTTATACTGTTAATCCCCCACTGTCTGTTATATCATGTATGTCATAGTGTATGTTATATTGTATGTGTCACACTGTCTGTTATATTGTGTGTCACTGTCTGTTATACTGTGAATCCCCCACTGTCTGTTATATCATGTATGTCATACTGTCTGTTATATCATGTATGTCATACTGTCTGTTATACTGTATGTGTCACACTGTCTGTTATACTGTCTGTCACTGTCTGTTATGTAGTGCATGTCACACTGCCCCACCAGTAACCAAGAGGGTGTAGCTAACACTGGGAGATCATCAAGTACACGCAATCGGTTTTAGATACCCCCTGCCTGTGATTAGCTGAGTGAGCTGTCGACCTGGTACAGAACTGGCCATTAATTACTTGTTGGTCGGCATGACGAGGCCATTCATCACACCACTGATGACCGCTAATGGCGCGCTGATGACCCCTCCACTTCATACACTACACCCACAACATTGATTTGTAATTCCTGATATGAAACTCATCAACATTATTCTATAAAACATGGCAGACTGTCTCCCTGCAGTCCTAGTGTTTTAGTCAGCAACAATCAACTACAGGACTTCCAGTGTACCATGTGTGAGGGAATGTTGTTTTACACTGTCGTATGAAATAATCTTTTAACTAAATCACTGGTAGGGGAACGCGTGCACTGGACGGCTGATTGCTATTTCCGATGCTGTATATGAGACAATTAAACATGGTAATCGTAATCCCTGCATATAAGGCAATGCCTAGCAAAAACAAATTAGAACTGAATAGGTAAATAATCGTGTCTCTTGTTTGTTTGTTAACACGAAGCGATTCGATGTCATTTCCTACCCCCAGAAAAAAGGTTTGATGAAAGTGTAACCCATAAACAAGCCGACCCCCTTCTACAGACTGCTATTTTTGGTCCTCAAAATTCGGCTTATCTATGGTCTTAAACACTACATTAAGGTGTCCTGTAAACAATAGAACCCGGATCAGCCTAACCAGTGTTTCATAGCATGGCAACAAGCAATAATATGAAGGCATCAGCAAGTTCCTTGTCTAAGACAATAATCGCCATCCAAACTGTCAAAATTTCAAATTTTGTAATGATTAAGAAAATTGACCTTTAAAAAAAGTGATCAAATCATAAAACCATCAAAATTCAATTTAATTTTAGCAAAATCACTCTACTGGAGTTTGTTAACATAGCTGTAACATGTGAAGGGAAGTAACTTGGTGAGATGGAAACTGCCTATGGAGGTAAACAATCTAAGCATTGATTCTAAATACTATTCACTACCAAATGTACACATAAAAATAGACAACCAGTTTATATAAGCTTCAAATATATCTCATCACAAAACTAAAGTCTAAAGCTATATCTATTACGAACGTACAGTAGCAATTTAGAGAACAGTAATAAATACATGTAGTTTAGTAAAGAACTATATTCACGAAGAGAAACAAGGGAGCAGATGGAAAGTTTAGCATGTGTGTGCCAGCCCAAAGATTCCTGGAGGAAAGTTTAGTGAGACAACAGATGTTCTGGAGTTTGCTCTATTTGTATAAAGCAAATACACGTACAGATCCATCATGGGACTTCTAAGATATGTTTTGGTCCATAAACTGAGGAAAGTATGGACATTCCAAATCACATCCCATTTGAGGTGAGTGAAAATAGTTAGGTCAAAATACAATTTTGAAACCGAAGAGAAAAAGTAGTATAGGCTAAGATCTCTCCTAATATGTGGGTGACTTGCCACAGTCTGGTGTGTTCACTTGTTTATTTCCACCAGTATATTTGATAATTAACCTGGTGCTATTCTGGACTTAACTAGGACCTGAACAAAATGTCTTACAAGGCCTTACTAGGACAAGAAGCAAATGTCCTACAAGGCCTCTTATATGTCCCAGCTATACAGTGGTCTGAAAGTACAAGCAAGAGCTGCCCAATTATCGAAGACACACTGTAACCTATAAATATGGATCAATGGTAGATTTACTGCCTCCTGCCCTGCGAGAGGCCTTTACAGGACAAACAAGCTATATATCTGTACATAACTAACACAAATACACCCTCCGATCGCTACTTGTACTGGGTGGATTGATTGTATGTCAATTATCTGTGTGCCCTGTGTGAAACTACCCACAGGCCATAATGTCTAATTGAGCAGAAACCTGGTATAGGAGTGCTCTATACTGACTACAGGAGTGCTCTCAGTCACTTCAAATATGACTGCATTAGGACTGAATGGAAGTCACAATGATATGATCACATGAAAAACCTTTTAGTCTACATACTAAAAACTATATACTAATTCTTTACTGCAAAAAATTAGGTTTGAAATGTTGACTTAACTCACATAAAACCGTTCAAGTAGTCTGTCTTAAAAACATTTGAGTTTACAAGCCTGAACATGACCTCATTTTTAATAGAATTAAATTTCATCATATAAACTAATATTAGCTGAAGCTAGTTGATCAAAAAGAATTTTACTCGACTCAGGTTTTGGACTAAGGTCTAAAGTCACATACTGTTCTAATCGTTTTTAATATTTGCACAAAAGTTATCCTATTTTGATTAACTCTAGATCTGAATTCTAGAACTTCATCTAATAAATTAAGAAATCAATGTATCTTTTTTGTCTAGATCAAGTGATGATGGTGGTGATGATGATGATGATGATGATTTATACACAGCATTTCCAGTTGATGATAGCTGCTCCAAGGCCCAATTAACAATAGGAAAGCTATGACACTCACTCACTCACTCACTCAGCATGTGGCAGAGTGGAATGCAAGTATCGGACATATATATTGCTCAATACTTTCTCGACACTAGTACAAGACCACAAAAAGCATTCTTTTTCCATTTTTCATACAGTATATATCTAAATAAACTCTCTGTTGTAAGGTGAGCTACAGTATAATGACCATTTCACATTAAGCTTTCCCAATCTACCCTACAATCTTGCTGATACAAACACTAATGTTTATTAATACAACTTTAACATGCATTGTTGTAATCAGAATGTATAAAACTCTCATGTCAGAAAGGTTTCACGAATTCAACAAAACAACAAAGCAAAATGGTTTTGACAGATCACCTTGGCAAACCAAGATTAAGTTCTCACAACAAAAATATCCAATCACACAGGTAATCTCAAGACGTAACTACACAGCGATATTAGTGTTGCTAACCTCGTCCTCAACTTGCCACACAATCTCAGTCCTTTACCCGCCAGATTTATCGATACTTAATTACACTTGGTAATAATGGCCGCTGTTTGCTTCATATCGGCCCCGATTGCCTGGATTGGCAACTTATATTAGTTTACTGAACATGGCAGTATTCACAGTTAGTATTCAGAGATCTTGCTTTCACTACACAACGTCATGCTAACAATGAAATATTCAATACCGTTTGCCGTGTTATCACCCAACATGACATAACATGACGAATATGTACTTCACATGGTCGGTCACACAAAAGAATCCTAGGCAAAGAATCTGCACATTCATATTCTTTTAAACCATTTCAAAGCTAAAATGTCAAAAGGTTAAAATGAAAATGAAGAGTTCAATAATGTATGAGACAGTGTTTGTGAAACTGGTATGGAGGTAGAAATTCAATAAGTAGGTTATGGCTTAAAAAGCAGTCAGAGTCAATTATTGATGAAATGAATGATCATTGAATTACAATACATGTCAGTTGTAGACTAGGGTTATGAAGGCACCGGTCTTGTTCAACCAATACATGAAGTTTGAAATACAAAATTGTGATATGTTAGTGGTGAAATCTGTCATTGACAGCTTATCACATATGAGTAAAGTTTTACGCCGCTTTTAGCAATATTCCAGCAATATCACGGCGGGGGACACCAGAAATGGGCTTCAGACATTGTACCCATGTGGTGGATCGAACCAGGGTCCTCAGCATGATGAGTGGACACTTTATCCACTAGGCTACCCTGCCGCCCCTATCACATATGAAGAATGCATAACTTATTCTATATGATCTATATAATTCTATTTGATGAAATACTGCCAATGTGGTTATGTTTTTATTTTCTATTTTAATCTCTCTCACTACTCAAGATGTCTACCCTGATGTTACTTCAGCTTGACTATAAACTGCTTGAAACTAGTTTATCCCGGCTACATACTCACCCGTTTCACATAAATCAACCTATCCTGAAAATCATACAACATGTTAACATGTGTGTTAAAAGACAAAAATATCACAAGTAAAACAAAATTGTAAAACTTTATTATTTGTGAAATGAGCAATATAGTCGTCTGTTCCCTGCTAAGGGAGATAACTGTGAATGACTTTTGTGTCTTGACACAGTATTTGAAATAAGCATGACAAATATATTTTATTTTAATTTGCAATTAG